GCTTGTCACAGGTAGAACCAAATGACTTAATATTATGGATTTAACTATGACTTTACTCGATTTTTCATTTGAGATAACAATATCAAAGGAAAAAAACAATTCTCTCCGGCGACTAATAGCTAGGGTGTGGATGGTCTTCTAATGGACTCTCTCTTAACAGTTTTATCCACTAAAGAAACTAAGACTTCATAAACTGACATCAGAGTAGTTACTTACTCACAAGATACTTCCATTTTTCACTGTTTCTAGATCGAGAAAAAATTCATGATTTTGGATCAGATCTTTTAAGAAGCATACAATTCGATTCATTGAATCTTTATTTTATTCTATTATTTTCATTCATTACTTCTATTTTAGAGGATTACTTATAATATTGCACATAATTTAATCATCAGACGATAAAAGAGATGTTATGTTTAAAAGAATTAAAATGAGTATTACCAAGTAAGCAACGATTTTTTTATGAATATTATACACTCTCATCATAATATATAAGCAGCTGATGACTAAGAAACATTGTTGTGTAATGTCAAGATTAGATATTATCCGTTACAATATCATGCAGACGACTTTCGTCAATTTTGTAACAAATAAATCTGTGTTATAAATAAATAATAAAATATGACTGTTTGTTTTTTGTTTTCGATGAAATTGTGGTTCTTATCTCACAGATATTCATTCATGTTGATAATAGTGGTTTTTCATCAGCTGAATTATTTCTATGAAACCAATTACATAATTCATTCTGATATAACCTCATGAAGTAAAACATTATGCAAACATAATATTAATTGTATGTCAAGAGCACCTCGAATATTGAGTTATGCAAAAATATACTTGATCAAAACTAAAAAAAAGTATTTTTATAAAAATATGAAACAAAAGAAATAATCGAAAAAATGATGAAAACTATTTTTTAATTGGTTATTGAGTTAATATGAAAGTTTTTTATCCATTGAGTATTGAAATTCAATCAATAATGCGAATTTTATGCTTTTTCCGTTGAAAGAGTTTTTCAAAAACAAAAAGAAATTCTTACAAGGTAAACCTTTCTTTTCAAATATTTTTGCTGCCAACGATGAGACAACATTTTAGAATGTTTATTTGCATTTACAATCTTGTTCTTTCTCAATTGTAAGCTGGAAATAACCTTTACGAGCTTCATGAACAAACGAAAAAGTCGATCCGTTAAAGTTATTAAAAGATCAACACACTTTCTCTAATACAAGATATATTAAATTTTTATTAGTCTTACTGATTTTCTTCAAGTTTTATATTGGAAAGAACATCAGAATTTTCTTTGATTTTCATATTCTTGCAGAGCTTGTCGAACTCTATCGAACCATATAAAAATATCGAGAAAACGATATTTTGCTTCAGACATTACAAGCATATTTTGTCTTTGTAAAAAAATGTAAGATGTAATATGCTTAGTCATCATGAATAAAATGATAAGTTTTCATAATTGCGACATAAATTTTAACCAGTTTTTTTTCAGATAATAGCTGTTGTCATTCTCTACAGAACTGTATATTTCAATAAATTACCTATGAAAATATTTAATATAGATAACGTCAATTTACAGAGAGAGGCCGAAATTTTTGGACCATCCTTTAGTTTTCGTTTTTAAACGAAAATGTGTCCTAGATTATAAGAACTTTCAAAATGGATTAAGTTTTCAAAAAAATAAATTAAAACAATTTTTTAGGTTATCAATTGTAAGTCTTTACAAACAATAAAATTTGTTAACAATCAAATACATTGCCATTTCTTGTTGCATTCGATCTTTTTCTTTTGCTTTACCTTGAATATGACTGGTTCATGGAAAAAGAAATTTGCTTGAGAAATTTAATCAATCAGTATCGAAAAGATTTTTTAAAAGAAAAAAAGAAAGTTTTTAAATCAAATTTATGTTACCTAGACATACGGATCTGTATTCTGAAATTTTACTATTGTTCGTTGCAAAATATAGTGTCCTTCACTGCTTTTTGAATAACTCAAGAACACAATAGACTAGAGACCTGCGGTTTTCATCAATCGAAAGAGAAGACAAGGGAATGTCTTTTTGTCCAATACTGTATAAGAGAAAATCATTTTAAAATTAATCGCTTTTGCAGAGCATTACAAAAAATGTATAAAAACAATCTGCCATTCAGATGAAATTTTTAAAAAAAGTAAGAAAATATGTTGTAAAATTAAAAGAAATCCATAGTTTTCGTGCGATTAAATAGACGATTTTATTTGTTCAACATTAGGATGTGGGAAGATAATCGTCCGAATTATAGTTCTGAAGTTCTTCTATCTAGATCACATGCCAGAACCAAAATTTTATCGGATTGACAGATCGTTTTCATGCATTTTGTGTAATGTTTTGCAAAAATGATTGATTTCAAAATGATTTTGCCGTATACAATATTGAAGAAAACGACGTTCGGCTGCCTCCTCTTTCTGTTGCTGAAAACCGTAGGTCTTTAACTGTTTGCGTTCTTGAGTTATTCAAAAACCAGTGTGGAAGACTATATTTTGAAACAGACAATACGTACGAGTGCTTTTATAACTCATTTAAAAAAGTTGTTCGTACTGTTCTTGATAACAAATCTTGTGTGTAAATCTTGGCAAACAAATATGAAACATCAGAATATAAAAAGATGAAAAAAACATCAATCAATTATTATAGAAGTCAAATGAACAGTTTATTTATCTTGGTATAGAAAAAGGTTTTTTTTATGCATAAAGTATTCTATCAATAAAAACAACTTGGCGTACATTTGAATATTTAGATGTACAAAAGTAAAGCTTCGATGTACTTTGTTCGCGCTTCATTTTATTAGCATTATTCATTTCTCTTTTTTCAAAAAAACAAGTTTACTTCGTAATTGAATACTTTGTTTTCGTTGAAATATATGTTCTACATAATAGTTACTTTATAATTTATAATCGAAATGAGAAAAAAGAGATTGTCTTCGAATATATATTCAAAAAGAAGCAGTACAATATCATGAACGACTCCAAAATTCTATTCATAGTAGAGATAATTAATATTTACTACCTATAAAATTCATATAAATATTTGAACATACTGTTTTTTTTCTTCTTATACTAAAATGAATGAATTCAATATGTTTAATTATTTTTCATAAAATTACCCACAATTTTTATTCCGTATATAATATAAAAATACAATAAAAACAACAAATACATACATTTCATCAACTCAATAAATAAAGCTTTTCAGTCAAAAGTGAGTGTCAGTTTTATAACTCGATTATTGTTCTAATGATGGTAACAAAAATAGTTATGAATATGTGTTATAGCAGTTATATTAAATTTAGTTCTGTTCAATTGATTTGAAATAAAAATTAAATAGTATTATAAAAGAAGAAAATGTTTTTGTCTACTTTTATTTTCAAATAACCAACATACAATAGTAAGAAAGTATGTATATATATGAAAGTCTTTAATCTATGAGAAAATTAAATTTTCTTTAAAATTTTTACAACAAGATCGATATGATTTATTAACATTGATAGAATATAATTGAAAGATGTCTGCATCATTTGTTGCTTCAAGAATAAAAATAGCAATACTACTACGTAATATAAAATAATGTTACATATTTTATTTCAGATTTGATACTATGAATAAAATAATAATTTTCTTTCTATTGATGTTGATTTGGACAATTGTTATCGAGACTAGTCATTTTAATGGTGGTACCATCACTTGGGTACCGGTGTATCCAAACGATACGTCTTCATCAATTCTAATTACAATCACACAATCTTATTCATGGGTTTATCCAACTGTGAACTGTACGACAAATATTCCTACAAATGCTGGCAGCACGAATTTAATTTGTGTTGCCAACTGTTCTACAGACGGTGGCTATACTAGTCATCCAATCAGTATTTTAACCGATTGTACTTCATATAGTACATCATTGAATATGACAACAAGTGAACGATCTGTTAATGTTACACTTAATCAAGGTGCATATTTTTGGATATCCAATAATGGTTCAGCTTGGAGAAACTTGACAAATGTTGCAACAACCAATAAGCCTGACTGGTCAATTGTTTCTTTGATTGATCTTCGACGACGTCCTGATGGTGTAATTAACACTCCACCTGTAGGAGAAGTAACTTCTCCTCAGTACGTTGTTTTCAACCAAACAAATTCAATCAAAATATATGTATCAGATGTTAACGTAAATGATGACATACGCTGTCGATGGACTTCAGCAAATAGGTATTCTTGGAGAAACTAACAAGATAATTTTCATATCTCTTTTCGTAGTCAATCTTGTAGAAATTTTAGAACTTGTAGCACGATCAAAAATTTCAAAGACAAGACGAATATTGGATGAATCATAAAAAAATTATACTAGCATTGATTCTTTTTTCGATTGTAAAGAAAATTTTCCAATTATAGATCAATGTACACATTTTTCAACTATCATGAATTCTGGTAAATCCTCATATAGTTTGAATTTTCAATTTAAATATAGTTTTATCTTTTGAAACTTGTTTGGTCTTATATCAATTTGACTAGACATAGATAAATTTCATCATACTTTTTACATTCTTCTTTTTCCATGAATTTTTTCTTTTATAAGAATAAGAAACAAGTATCTAATCAATATATATATTGAATTTTCAGAGATACGTAACTAATCATATGAAAGTTCAACAAACACTTTCAAGAAACAGTAATCCAATCGTAATTTTGAAAAGACTTTTTCGTACTGAGAACTATGATTGAGTATGAAAAGTATCGAAAATTAAATAGAAAGAGATCTAAACGGATTTGAAACATGTCTGAAATACGTTGTTGTGTAAATAGCTCTTATGGAGTCAACGAATGTGGCGATGTTTGCAGTATGGGAAGTGCGACAAACCAAACAAGTTTGTCTGGCTGTACGTTAACATTTACGCCCAAACAAGCTGCTGTTTGGTATGCTGTTGCTCTACAGGTAAACAATTTACTATTAAACATATTCTTCTATCTTTGAATACATATCCATGTCTATCACGTAGAGTTTTTACAATTTATTTTTTGAATAAAATACGGTTCCGCTTGTGAAATGTTATTAGTGTTTTTATAGTTTTGATCAAAAATCAAAAAATTTTATATTAAAAATCGTTGAAATTTATGCCATTTTTATTTAAAGATTAATTACAACATTTTTTTTAAACTTCTGGCATGATTCTATTGACAAAAAGATCTGTTTAAGTGAAGGATACAGAGTGTTCTCGGCAGATATAGTTATCTTATACAAGATTGTCTTCATTATATTTTCTATAGATTGAAGATTTTATCAACACAACAAGCAATCAACCAATGAGCTCAGTACCTGTGCAATTCCTAATTTATGTATTACCTACACCATATTGCTCCCAAGCACCTCAAATTCTTCCGTTAACAGGCTGTTTCGAAGTTCAAGTGAATGTATCAGTAAATTTTACTCTTTATACAATGAATTTCTGCAATAGAACAAAAGTAACTATTACTGACATAATATTCACAGTAGACATCAGTGGTATGCAAGCCAGTAGTCTCGTCAATTCAACAACGAATACATCTCTGGCCTATGTCACACTAAATTGGACTCCGCAGACAAATCAAATTGGATCACAGCAATTTTGTGCAGTGGCTTATACTAGGTAAACTTCAGCTTTTGAAACTACAATATAACACACTTGTTTTCTGTTACATAGTGAGAAGGTGCAGTCTAGCTCATACTGTGCTAAATTCACTGTAACCACATCAAAACCTTGTATAACAACTACAACTACCACAACGACAGACATAACAAGTACAACATCCAAAACCACAACAACAACTGAGAGCACAACAACAAGTGCAACATTAGAAACAACAACAAGTGCGACTTCAGAAACAACGACAACAACAACTTCAGCGACTTCTATGACAACAACAAGCACAACATTAGAAACTACAACAGCTACTACATCGACGCAGACTACATCAACAACTACGACCACAATTACTACAACGACTGGTATAACAGAGACTTCAACAACAGCCACCACTGCAACAACAACAACAACCACCTCTATAACGTATGTTACAGAAAATTATTCACTTATTTTCTTTCATAATCAGTCAATTCTAATCCTAATTTTAATTTATACAAATATCAATTATTTTAATCTTGTAACATGACTATAGTTTTATCTTATTGAGTTTTAGAAAATCTATTAATCATTTCATAGAAGCTAAGAGATAGATTATGAAGTATGCTAAAAGATATTCGCTTAAACAAAAAACGCAAGTTTAAGAAACTTCCATTATTGCTAACACTTTCGAAGATGTTTATTAAATAAATATTTGTTAAAAGAATCATAACAATACATAGAGATAATTGATAGAACCATTAAGCATTTAACTTAAATATATAAACTATTTTTCTAGCTCTAGTAAAGGTAAAAGTAACCCTTAAAAATCTTTACCAAAATGGAATAGTAAAAAGAATTTTCTCTAACCATAAAATATACGAATATAATACAGGGGTTGCCAAAATTATACCCCCCCCCCCCCCCCATGTACACATATCATTATTAGATCAATATCGTTTATCATGGAAATAAAATAAACATTTTT